AACTGACTGTACAATTCACACATATATACATATACAGGACCAATCAGATCACACATTGCATCACCCCTGAATTGCATCATCCCTGAGTTGCATCAGCTCTGCTGAGTCATCCTGACACAGTTTTAACACACCTGATCATTATGGATTCTCATTAATACACTCCATTCTGCTCAGGCCTGTAATTTTCCTTGACATGATGGTTGTTGTGGGTTTTTCGGGGGTTTTGGCCGGGTTCTGATGCTTGTTCGTCCTAACGTTTCACCAGTCTCTGTGCTATAAATACTCAGCTATCCAACAAACAGCAACAGAGCATGGACAGAGTTCCTACTCCAGTCCTCTGAAGATGCTGGCCACAGAGACTGGCCAAACGTCAGGAAGAACAACCTTCAGAACATGGCCAAAGAGCCTGAAAAACCCACAACAACCAAGGAGATATGTTGTTGTTACTTGTCATATCCCCAATGAAATCAACCATGGCTGGAGAGCACCGCCCCATGTAGAAGGAACAGACCACTGTTCCCCCCGCCCCAATCCATTTGCTGAATGAAGGATTTTGAATTAGCAGAACTTTTGATTTGATGACACAAGCTCCATTTGTTGAGGCTATGAAAGAGATGTTGTGGCAGGTTGACTACAAGACCACATTTCTTTGCCTTCTCTAGCAAGCGCTTGTTCCTCTTATCCATCTAGCCTGGGAGACTGGGCAGCTTTATACATCCTACCCATTCATACATCATACATACACAGTACAGTACTCTGTGACCCAAACGATTTCCGTTTGGATAATAACCTGCCCTGGGAGTGGGGCGATGTGCATCCCAGAATATATCTGGCAAAGTTTTCAAATCAAGATCTAAAATGGGTGTGTTCCTAAGGGCTCGGTTTCCATGAAGGGCTGCTTGATGGGAGCCCTTAAATGATGCTAGATTTGCACTGTTAATTAGAGCCACTTCACATAAGCCTGTGTGTCTGTGTGCAGCTGTTTGAGACTCTTCCAATGGGTTGGGATTTGTCAGCTGGTTAGCCTGGCTGCTGGCAGCAGTTCTGGAATGAAACACAGCTTACGTCTACGTTGACATGTTTGGGAGCAATCGCTTGGATGATCAGGATAGTAACAGTATGGAGACACAGCTCAAGTTTATGAAATATGTGCTAGGAGTGGATGGGTGGAATAAGTTGATACTACAGATGGGCACGAACCAGTTCGTCCCAATTTATAAAGGTGCTGCTCTCCCTGCCTCCTCTGGCTCAATCAGCTACTCACCAGCTCCAGCCTCTGTGATTTTCAACTGATCTTCCAGTCCCGGCAGTAGCTCAGGCTTCTCTGGCCCCGCCCACGGCTGATCTGCCACTCAGACAAAAGGGCGGGGCAGAGGAGTCTGGGCTCTTGCTCCTGATTGGGAGATTAGACCTGGAGGTGGAAAAAGCTAAGCCATTGGGCCTGGTGAGTGGCTGGTTGCCTGAAGAGGCAGGGGAGGAACTGGGACGAACTGGTTCATGCCCATCTGTAGTTGATATCCATGCCTTTTGGAAGATGAGAATTGGCTGTTGATTGATTGATTGTATCCTTATTACAATAAAGAATCTTTGCCTTTTCAGGCTCTTTGGAGGCTATTTTTTCCTTTGGATGAACTGACTTCTGCCGATGGAGACCCTCTTTACAAAGAAAACCTGCCCTGAGGAAGCTTTTGAATGGATCCTAACTGTCTTGGAGTCATTCTTCCCTGGAATTATTTTGCAGAACCTCTCTGGGCGTGTAGTTACAGACCATTTGGGGTGTTTTTGTTTTTTGCACTCCTGTGAAACATACAGAATGAAATAATCCCAGTTTTTAAAATACTGTATATATAAATATATATCTGTAAACTTCTAGTTTGTAGGGGTTTTTGAGGATTACTGCAATCCATGCTATTTCCCAAAGTCTATGAAATTCCTTACTTGTGTAGGGTCTTAGAACAGAAAGCTTTGTCTAACATAAATAAATAAAATATTTAATCCCATGATGACTTTTTTTAAAATGTTTTTTCTGACTGGGCCACATTTTTTCTTTTTTGTGATAAACATATTTCATTTACCTTTGTGGACTATGTTGTAATAAAAACTTGAAAACCTATCTTGTAATATTCTTGACTTACAGCTGCATCAGACAAATTTATCCTTTTGGCTGCTTCATGGTTTTCTTGTGCCAAAAGTAAAGTGCATGATATTCCTCATATGATCACTGCAGACCTATACGTGTGGCTAAGTGCAGATCTGGCTCATGAAACAACAGCCGTTGCCCACAGTTTTCTGTACTAACATTTTTTAAAAAAATAGCCTGAATGCCAATTTAATTATTTGAAACATCTTGTTAAATCAAAGACTTGTCTTCTATCTCCACAGCTGTTTTTAACTTTCTTCTGCAGAGGAATACTTTTGGGAAGTAAGTAAGATTGGATTACTTGTATAGGAGCAGGGGGCAGAGATAATTAAGTAGTTTTGTTTCTTCTGTCTGGCCATAAAACAAATTTCAAAATAAAATAAATCTAAAGGTAGAAAAAAGTATCCAGTTTTTGAGATTGTTAGGACTCTTCATCAAGCAAGATGCTAGAAAAGCAGTGGTAAAAGAGGTTAAGACTGCATGTTGTGAAATCTTTGATACTTTGAGAAGTAACAGAAAAGGAAGGCTGTAAGGATGAGTTTTTGGACTATAAACCCCATCATTCTCCATTCTGGGAGGTCTACATGACAGAACACCTAAATGTGGCTCACCTAGGAGAAAGTCCTCAACTTGGAAGCCTTGAGACCTAGCTAGGCCTAGCTCTGCCTAAGCTTCCTGTTCCTGCCCCAGTGCTAGCTGGGAACTTCCTTTCTGGGCAGGAAGACAGGCAGAGCAAGGTCCACCTAAGCCTCAAAGTGGAAGCTTTTTTCCATAATGAGCCAAATTTAGGTGTCCGTTGGTGAGGTAGAATTCCTGGAATGAAGAATTATGGGATTTGTAGTCTAAGAAATAATAATAATATTAAAAAAATCCCATCCTTAGAATTCCATGCAGAAAGATCATATCTTATGTCTCCCTTTGTAGGATGTGATTCAGTATGTAGCCCAAAATGGGGCTCACAAAAAAGCCAATGAAGAATGTTGGGAGTGTGATGATAATTAGAGTAGGTATTCAGTGGCAAATAGAAGGGGAAGATATAGAGGCAGTGACAGATTTTACTTTCTTGGACTCCATGATCACTGCAGATGGTAACAGCAGCCACAAAATTAAAAGACAGCTGCTTCTTGGGAGGAAAGCAATGACAAACCTCGACAGTTTCTTAAAAAGCAGAGATATCACCTTGACAACAAAAGTCCGAATAGACAAAGCTATGGTTTTTCCAGTTGAAATGTTTGGAAGTGAGAGCTGGACCATAAAGAAGGCTGATCGGCGAAGAATTGATGCTTTTGAATTGTGGTGCTGGAGGAGACTCTTGACAGTCTCCTGGACTGCAAGGAGAATAAACCTATCAATTCTAAAGGTAATCAACCCTGAGTGCTCACTGGAAGGACAGATCCTGGAGTTCAGACTCCAGTCCTTTGGCCATGTCATGAGAAGAGAAGACTCCCTGGAAAAGACCTTGATGTTGGGAAAGTGTGAAGGCAAGAGGAGAAGGGGATGACAGAGGACGAGATGGATGGACAGTTTTGTTGAAGTGACCGAGATGAATTTGATCCAACTCTGGGAGGCAGTGGAAGACAGGAGAGCCTGGCGTGCTCTGGTCCATGGGGTCACAAAGAGTCGGACACGATTTAACAACTAAACAACAATAATTCAGTGGAAGTTAAGGAAACAACAGCCATTAGATACTGAGGTAGGAGGAAAATTGCTGGACAGTAGTTTGACATTGTTATGGCTGCCTTCCTTCTATGCTTTGTGAGGGCCACAGGAAGTGTATCTGTCATGCTCTCAGTAGGTAAAGGTAAAGGTTCCCCTTGACAATTTTTTGTCCAGTCGTGTTCGACTCTAGGGGACGGTGCTCATCCCCGTTTCCAAGCCATAGAGCCAGCATTTTGTCCAAAGACAATCTTCCGTGGTCACATGGCCAGTGCGACTTTGACACGGAACGCTGTTCCCTTCCCACCAAGGTGGTCCCTATTTATCTACTTGCATTTGCATGCTTTCGAACCGCTAGGTTGGCGGGAGCTGGGGCAAGCAACGGGCGCTCACTCCGTCGCATGGATTCGATCTTACGACTGCTGGTCTTCTGACCTTGCAGCACAGGCTTCTGCGGTTTAGCCCACAGCGCCACCACGTCCCTATGCTCTCAGTACCTCATTGCTATCTGGTTTCTGTTCAAATTCTATACTAAATTGAAAAGCGATTTTTGCTTACGTGGACATTTTCCTGAATCTTTTTGTGTAAAAACTCCTGTGTATTTTCCCCATTGATGAAAGCCTCTTTCTATGCTATTTTCGAATGCCCACATTTTAAATTGTACACCTGATAAAATGAATGCATGAGCTTTGTCTACTTATTCCGTTCTACTGATTTCTTAGCGAAATAAATTTCCATGCTTTTGAGAGTGTCAGAATAGCTAAACAGCTGTTTCTGTAACAAAACACACATTTAATTTGTTCCACATCCTTAGCTACAGGACTTCTAAACTTAATACAATGTTTTCCAAATGCAAACACAATTGTAGCGTACCACACCCTTCAATCTTACTGTGCAACTTCCTCTTCTTTGAAACATGCCACAGGTACCATTTGGTCTTAACTTGCATGTGTAAAATTAGTGCCAAATATTGCCATCCTTTTAAGATTTTTTAAAAAGAAGCCAGTTGGGATTATATGTATGACGTAAGGATGCACTGTAATGCTTGGGCCACCCATGGCAGATTTAACAACTTTTTTTCCAGACAGCACCATTTCTATCTTTTTCCATAAAAGTCCACATGCATCTAGACCAGTGATAGGAAAAATATAAAATGCAAACTGCATATGGACCAAAGTGTTTTTTGTTTCTGTTTTTGTGAGTATTTGTGTTTGCAGGGACATGGTGGCGCTGAAGACCAGAAGACCAGCAGTCATAAGATCGAATCCACACGATGGAGTGAGCTCCCGTCGCTTGTCCCAGCTCCTGCCAACCTAGCCATTCAAAAGCATGTAAAAATGCAAGTAGATCAATAGGTACCACCACGGTGGGAAGGTAATGGCATTCTGTGCTAGTTGTGCTGGCCACGTGACCACGGAAACTGTCCACAGACAAATGCTGGCTCTACGGCTTGGAGACGGTGATGAGCACCGCGCCCTAGAGTCGGACACGACTGGACTAAATGTCAAGGGGAACCTTTACCTTATTTGTGTTTGCACAAGCCCCACTCCCCAGTCCTCTCTAGGGCAGAACAATTAGTTGTGGAGCAGGAAGTGAGCATTTTTTCTTCTGGAGCTGTTCAAGAATGACGGGTTTGCAAGTGAAATGGTTGTAAGAACAGCAACCTTTCCCCCTACAAGTGTCCAACATTTGGACACTTCCAAGTTGGATTCCTTCTGCTTTCCCTCCATTCCTGGGCTTGTTGCAGCTTCTTGGGGTTCTAGAAGATAAATATTTCACCTGTGGGATCATCAAAGTTACCCAGTCTCTAATCCAGCTGGTTGCAAGGGCAAGTAACATGGAAAGGCATGGCGGAGTGTCAGAAAAGGGAAAGTATGCTTGTCACCAGTAGAGGGCAGCATCAATCTAGTCAACAGGTCTGTTGGGTCCTTTAAAATACAGTTCTGACCAGACAGGTGATCTGGTGGGAGAAAGGAGAGGATGCCAATTCGGACGGGCCCTAGATTCCCAGCAGTTTTGTACTAAGGAGTGGCAGCTCTGCTTCCAGTTTAACAACAATCTATTTCATCATAGCATCAAATGATATCAGCGGGGAAGAGCATGGTTCCCTACTGCCTAGACATGTACAGGTTAGTAAGCAGTGGAATTCTCTTTGCCATTCGGTGAAATAATCTGCAAGCCGTGCCACTCTTTGCAATTCGGGGAAATAATCTGCTCCAACCATTGAACTAGATGACAGGAAGTATATACAGTGGTGCCTCGCTTAACGAGCGCACCGCATAACGATGAAATCGCATAGCGATCCGTTTTTTCGGATCGCTAATGCGATCGCTTAACGTTTTTTGAATAGGGCACAATTCGCTTTGCGAAGACCGGTAAGCGTTTCGCTTACCGATCTTCGCAAAACGAAGCCCGACGATCAGCTGTTCGGCGGCCAAAATGGCCGCCGGAAGCCTGGAAATGGCCCAAAATGGCCGCGCGCAGCGTTTTGGCGCCCTCGTTAAGCGAGGTGAGGGCGCGAAAATGGCTGCCGGCCATTACGAAGCTTCGCTGAACGGTGAGGATTTGGCCCATTTGGAACGCATTAAACGATATTTAATGAGTTCCTATCGGTTTTTTTGATCCGTTCAACGATGCTTCAGCATAGCGAAGGTTAATCCGGAACGGATTAGCCTCGCTATGCGAGGCACCACTGTAGTTATGTAGGAGGGTTGTGGGAGAGAAGGCCACGAAATGAACCACAAATCCAAAATCCTGACGAATCAGGCCGATTCGTGGTTTGTTTCATGACCCAGTTCGGGGAATCCCATTTTACTGGAGCAAAAGTCAACAAACTTCCCCCCCCCTTTGGCGTTTCATTTGCTTCGGCAAAAGAGAATGCCCGCCTGCCCCTTTCCCACGGCCCGTCGCCTCCGTCTTCCTGCTCCCGCTGCCGCCCGTGCCACCAGAAGCTGGTCGCTGCCTCTGTGCATGTTCCTGTGGCAGACAGAGGCGGAGGCAGCGTGAGCAGGTATCTCCTCCCCCCGGCATGAAGTGGAAAAAACGAACTGAGAGCTGGTTCATTTTTTCCCGGGGATTCATGGTGGTTCACAGTTAACCACAAACCACGAACCATCACGAACCTCTGGTTCTCCACTTTGTGCCCATCTCTAGTTGAGGCTTTTCATTTTTTTGAATGGCCAGCAGCAAAAACCTGCATCAGCGGTTGCTTGCACAGAAGACACAGAAAGGGCAATGCATGACATAATTTTTAGGCTAGGCCCATCCATAATTTTTTTTTAAAAAAAGGTGATCAGTCAACAGGTCAAATAACATGGTGTATTTAAAACATGATTAGAACAGTAACAAAGGTTACAAAAAATGTGACTGATTTCTGGAGGATTACAGAGCAGAGTCCTTCACTGAAGCCCTGGAAAACCCCTTGGCAAGTCATGTGGAGGATCTTTTTCCCAACACAATAGGCTCAATGGGCAGTCCTGTGTTCCGGCTACTTGTGACTGGTGCCACTGTGATCATTTTGTTGTGCAGTTCACCTTCCAGCTTTTTCCTTGTTGTTCCATCTTCCTGTTCTGAGATGCATGGAGTTATGGCATGTGTTTGATAGCAGGAGCTTGTAGGGGAAGCGAGAGGAACCTTTGGCTCTCCAGACATGGTGGACCTTCGTGGTGGAATCTCCAGCTCACCTTGGGCAGTGGTGGTGCGAGAGAATGGAAAGTATAGTGCCAAGTATCTCGAGGATCCAAGGTTGCCCACCTCTCTTGTTGGCCAGATGGCTTCATGGAGAGTGGAGGAAGGAAGCAGAAGCAGCTCTCTGGGGAGGATTGCAAGGGACGGCTGCCTTCTCATGACTTAAAGAGTTGGAAACAGTGCCTGGGTGGATGCCACTGCTGGGCTGGAGAGAAAGGGGCCCTCAGACTTGCCATTGCTCTCAGGGTGAGACATGATGCAATTTATTCAAAGGCTATTTTTAATCAGTCAGTTGCCCATAGTTCCAAATCCAGAATGGAAGGCTGTCGTTTGTTCCATAATCTGAGAAGTCTCTGCAATCTGACTGTGGTGCATGCCGTGAAGCAACGATGCCTGTGAGCCAAGACAGACTGAGGAACTTTGGCCGACAGAAAACGTTCATGGAAATGCACTCTGATGCCAAAAAAGCCCTTCTCATGGTTGATATATCCCAGTTGTTATATATTCTCAAAGCCACTTGATTCTGTATTGGGGACCCATATTTATCCTTCCCTCACAGCAAAAGAGACCCATGGAGCCGAGTGGCCAGAGTGGCTCAAGACCCCCTTGCATAGCATGTAGTTAGAAGTGTGGAATTTCCTACCGCAAGATGTAACGATGGCATGGAAGGGGGATTAGATAAATTCATGGAAGAGGAGGTGATCCATCACTATTGGTCCCAAAGTGCAACTTGCTGCAGGACCTGATAGGAAGGGCTGAATGGCATTCATGTTCTGCTTGGCAGCTACCTGACCACTTAGAGAAATTGGATTAGATAGACCTTTGATCTGATCCAGTACTGCTTCTCTTATGTACGCAAGGATTTGAATGGGTATGAAGGTTTTATTGCTCTTGCAGCCCCTCACAAGCGGCCAAGCTGTAGAATAAAGTTGACTTCTATTTAGCACAAATTTGGGGGTGTAAGTCCTCACTTGGATAAATTATACATGAGATCCAGGAACCAGATTTTTACTTTATTTTATTTGCTCCTGCATGAAGGTGGGATCATTGGTGTTGATCTTGACTCAAATTTTCACAAGGATGGTTTTCTGCGTAAATGACACAAATCGTGCAAAATTACAACAGTGACTGCCCTGTCGCAAAGGCTTTGCAAATCAGAAGACTCTGAGGGTTTGCAACTTCTTCATCACCATAAAGCTCTTTCAGCCTTGCTCTTTCTCTCTCTCTCTCTGTGTGTGTGTGTGTGTCACTCAGTTTCACAGATGGAAAAAAATGCTAGTTTTGCACAAATACATTTTCTCAGACTCCCGTGAGAGAGAAAGTGCTCCTTATCCCTCATTCTCTGGGGTCCTTGTCAAGGTGTCTCTATCGACCAAGACAGTCTAAACAAGAGCCTCAAGAAGGAATTTCATGAGTACTCTTTGCATCTCTAAGCTCTGCTGTGAAACTGCCATCAGAGCAGAAGCAATAGTGGAACTGCTGTCGGTGTGTTTCTTCCCTCTGCAGGACTCTTTTTTGGGGAAGGGAACTCCCACTGCAAGCAGCAGGGATGGCATTAAGTTAGACAGTTCTCAGATGTGAATCTAAACATCTTTAAACTGCTCATAATACTCAACAGTACATTCCTATTTGCCTCCTTATTGTAAGCCTCTGTGATGAGTAGGTGAGGCTGGAAGGGAGAACCTATGAGCAGATTTTCTTTTCCAAGGTCTGAGTATTGATATTGTAAGCCTCTGTGATGAGTAGGTGAGCCTATGAGCAGATCGTCTTTTCCAAGGTCTGAGTATTGTTGATAACCCCAGAAGGGGATTTTTGGATTCATCCTGTAGTCCTGGTGTTAATTCCTAGGGCAGTAGGATTCCAGCCATCTATTTCAACAAAATGAATAGTTCAATTCTTTTGTTGTATTGATGGTGGAAGGCCCACTGGAAGTGAAAACTAAGGCCCAACTTAAATATAATTCACATCTTCCAGAAGGGTAGTCTTATACCACCTTGAGGACTAACATGTTTTGTTTGGCAGGAGTTTTTGGGAAGTGCAGTCCAGATGCATCTGAATATATGAAACCTGGCCCACAAAACTTAATAATGAATGGAACCATTCATGGTTCAAGGAGCCCTGACATTCTTTGTTGGTTTGGCTATAATTGACAAAGGAGACTAAAAACTGCAGAGCTTACAACACTGACCTTTCTGAGCCCCAACTCTGAGATCCGACAGCCAAGTAGGAGAATGACTATTGTATTTTTCTGTTTATAAGACAACACAATGTATGAGACGACCCCCCCCCGTTTCCTAACCCCAAATTAGAAAATTTGATCCCTGTTTTTCCTTTCCATTTGCTAAGCCACAGAGCTTAGCAAAAGGAAGGGAAAAGCAGGGATCAAAGGGCTCCCTTCAGGTAAAGCCTGCACGATCACAGTCCTTTGATCCTGAAGCAGCCATGAAAGGGCTTCAGGATCAAAGGGTTGCGACTGTGCAGCCCTTTCACAGCTGCTTTAACCAAAGGGAGACTTCTCTTCCTTTTTGCTAAGCCCATGCCTCCGCAAAAGGCAGGGAAAAGCGGCTGCCTTCCGTGTATAAAATGACCCTCAATTTTTTTGTCCAATTATTTACGGAAAAAGATTCGTTAATGTGGCATATAATCCACAGAGCATTCCTAACTGCCTCTTTCTGGATCTCTGTCAATGGCTGTTCTTTTTCAGGCATAGGTAGGATAACTCAACATTGGTTCATTTCCAGGACTGTGATTCCTAGGACTGGATCAAAGCACAACTTCCTGCTTTTAATGTCCCAGCTGGTTTCAGTTTCTCAATATCTTTAGGGACCTAAACAGACAGCTTAACCACTTAATGATACTGGGAAATTGGGAAATTAAAATTTTCCAATCTCTGCTTCTCCATGGGGAAGTTGAGTTTTGTTTTTTGTCTTTGTGTGTGTGTGTGTGTTTTAAAAAAACTAATTCGGGCAGCACTAATATGCTGTATCTTTTAAAGGTTTTTTTTTAAATTAAGGCTTCCCAGAAGTGGGAGGAGGTAGGAGGGACAAGGAGAAATATTTTTTTTTTCCTATTCTTTGCAACTTTTCTTAAAGGAGGTGAACCAAATAGGGTTGCTTGAGTTGTTTATGCCATTTGGATGCAAAGATTGAAGAACATGAAATACAGGACCTATGCCTGGCCTATGTGACCCTATTGACCCATACCAGTCTGCTGCAAATAAGTGGTGTAACCAAGCTTTCAGTAATGTTTCCAAAGTCTTGCCAAAAAGCCCCTGTGCAGCTGTAGGAGATTCAAGGGCAGCTGCACAGGGCTTTTTGGAGGCAGCAAAGGAGCATGAAGGAGAGCAGACTGCACATGTGCTGTAGGAAATGAGAAGCCGGTGAGATTTAGGGTTTATTACATTTCTTAGATGCCCCTTTCTCAAAAAAGATTCAAGGCATCTTACAGAAATTGAAATATACAAAAGTTAAAATCGAAAGCAATGCAAACGAATGGGTCTATAATAGAAATGTCCGCCTGCCCATAAGAATAACCAATCATAGGGATAATTCATTGGCCTAAAGCAGGCAATTTAAAAAGGGATAATCATGTTCAGTCGAATGCCTGTAGAAGAGAAACTGGTGCTGAAAGGACAATATTGTTTATCCCAGGTGAGCTGTGCTAGGAGCTTTGTCTCTGGTGGTGGTGGAGGTGGAGGAGATACAACCTACAACAGTGGTCCCTAACCTTGGGCTTCCAGATGTTCTTGGACTTCAACTCCCAGAAGCCCTTCACCACCACCTCTGCTGGCCAGGATTTCTGGGAGCTGAAGTCCAAGAATATCTGGAAGCCCAAGGTTGGGGGCCACTGACTTGCAAGAACCTCACTGTTGTGGCCCAAGGTTGGGGACCACTGACCTACAAGATCCTCACTGTTGCCAACACCCTTTGAACCCTTTCAGAAGGACAACCTGGGAAAAGACCTCAGATGTTGGAACGATGGCTCTTCGTTTTCCCGTGCCTATGAAAGCAAGCATCAGACCAAACAAAGTGCTCTTGTAGGATCAGGTCAGCGGCCCATCTAGTTTGGCCTTCTGTTTCTAGCAGGGGTGAGCAGTTTAGTAAGAACAAAAGAAAGGCCAGTGGGTTCTCTCTTGTTGCTCCTCATCGGCTGGAATTTGGTGGCAGAGCATGCCGGTGCGCCGGCAGGACTAAATTAAACCTCACCTCCATAACTTTATCCATTCCTTTCCTCTGTATGTGAAAAGAAGGGCAAAGAAAGAATACAAATAATGTATCTATAATAGAAAAATCCCACTACCCCAAAGAATATATTATTCTTTTTCTGAAAAAGGGGAAGTGAGTAAAGGTGAGCCATGTAGTGGTTTATCCTCCAGACACTAGTAAATTCATCTCTAGATTTCACCCCCTGCTAAAGGTTGGTGCCGTGGGGAAAAACCCCACTTGCTCTGCCTTGGTTACAACCTTGCCCGGGAAAATCCATTCTGAACCCACCTAAGTGAGGACTGCAGCTAAGATCTGACTCTCTCAGTCATGGCTCTGCTGCAATATTGGAAAGACTCCCAACCCTGGGAGCTATCTAGGAATAAAGACTGTGAGATGAAAGATGTGGCCATGGTAAGAAAAAGAAAGATCTAATATTTCTGGTTGTCTAACCCATGTGGAGAATCTGGTGGAGTTACAACAAGATCAGCTTTTCTATTTCGTTGCATGTACTCGTAAGGCCATTTAATTTGCTTCCAACTGCACCACGATTAGAGTTTGGTGTCCCCACGGACAAAATGTCTCTGGGATCTGGCCTCAGAGGTGCAAAACGGTCATCAATTTTTCGAGATCTCAGAAGGGATGGCTTAACATTATAGTTCAAAACTGAAGGCTTGGACAACGCAGACGTTTCTCCAGCACAGGCCAACCCGAGTCTTGTTCAGAGGATGGGAACAGTGGCAAAGTCAACGGCGTTTGTAAAGTGTGATCTTCATCCATATTTGCCACATAGAATAATTGAGTTGGGAGGGGCCTATAAGGCCATCAAGTCCAACTCCCTGATCAAGGCAGGAATCCAGCATCTAGGTGATGCGTGTTGTGGTTCATACAGCCCAAAAAAATTCCAAAAAGACAGGTATCAGGAGCCTTGTGGGAATTCCTAGTTCTGCAGAAGTATTGAAGAATGTGGAGAAGGACCAAAGGCATAGAGGAAGAAGCCAAAATAAAGAGTACTCAGAGGCCATGGAATGCAATCAGCCTTTGGGATATAAAACCAAGAGGAGGATTAAAACGGAGTGACTGGAATCCCAACCATACCATTCCATGATTTGTGGCAAGATCTCACTTATCAGCTGCAAAGGCACCTTGTCAGAAATGTGGAGATGAAAACTGCCAAACGTTTTAGGAACCAGTTGCCTAGGTCCTCCTCCCTCCCTCCTTAGTGGCTCCTTATGATGGCATGTTTTTTATTGAGAACGTTGTTGACATGCAAGCAGTAAGGAGGGGAAATCACTCAAGGACAAAACATGCAGAAGCCACGGAGAGAGATTCAGTCCTTGGCCATTTCTCTTCTAAGATCCACAATGACACAGAGAGGGTGCTGTTGCAAGTCAACGTTCACACCGTTGGTGGCACATTTGGTCTCGTTGAGTAGAAGGCAGCTGCCACGTCCAATGGGCCCAGTGGACCTGCATGGTTAGTAGTCATTTGTCTTGGGTAGACTAGTAGTCCCAGACCTCCTAGTGGCCAACTAGCTGGCCAATTTTGAGAACTGCTGTCCGAAAAAGCTAAAATGTCCAAGCCACGGAAGAGGAGACTTTTTGCCCCATATGTGGCATCTCTAATCTCATTTGTGAAAACACATTTCTTTAGTTCCAACTTACAGCTCATTGTTTAGGTATCTAGCTGCGGAGCCAGACGTTGTGAGTTTGATTTACCCACTATGTCTCCTGGGGCAAGTAGAGCCAGCCTGTGTGTCCTTGGGCAAGCTGCACAGGATGGCAGGGCAGCCCCAGAAGAAGGGAACGGTAAACTACTTTTGAGTATTCCCTATCTGGAAAACCCCGCAAAGGGTCGCGACGAGTCAAAAGTAACACATGATTATTATTACAACATAATACACAACGACGATATCGGGGTTGTCTTTTGCAGTGGACCAGAGATGAATCTAGCAACTGGATGAAGGTTGCAGCATCTCCGTCTTGTCTGCTGGAAATCCAGGAAGGTATTCAGCCAGGTTTGGCTTCCCTGCAGGTGGTAGACCTGAAGGTGGAAAACAACCCAGTGGGTGAAGGTAAGACATGAAAACAGGATTGTAAATAATTTCCCTGTGACACTTAGAAAAATACCAAGGATCAGGTAAGTTCAACTAGCCATGTGTCCATTACAGAAATAATTGTTTGAGAGCAGATGTCATGGCTGGGTGGGTGGAATTGGCCCGTTTATAGCAACGAAACATCTGTGCCACAAAATCTCCGAAGCTAGTGCATTCAAGGATGATTCTTCCAAAATGGAATGTAATGCCATCACGTGTATATTTTCCAACTATTGTCTTTCGTTCTCAGTGGAGGGTCTCAAAGAAGTGGGAGCAAGGAACAGGGTAGTGGATTGGGAGTATTTTCACCCCCTCCCACTTCCGTTTGTTCACAGCAAAACCTACAAGTCCTCTAACGAGCCAGCAAATGGATGCAGAAGCGGCATGAACGGCTGACGAGCAAAGCAGTATTTTGGCTGGAATGGCAACTGCTCAAAGAACTGACCCCATGCATGTATTTCTCTCTCTGTGTGTGTGTGTCCTCCTTGTGCTCGCCATCCTTTTGCCGTTGCTGCTGTTTTTCTGCCACTCAAATGAGTTGTTCAGTATTTGCATTCCAGATGGTTGACATCTGTCCATCCAGTCTCTGAATCCTTGTCACTTACGCAGGCCTGCAGAGAAGAAAAGGAAGAGGATGAAAAGCATGAGATGAAACAAGAGAGGTACAGTGGTGCCTCGCTAGACAGTTACCCAGCATGACAGTTTTTTCACTAGACATTGGCTTTTTGCGATCGCTATAGCGATTCGCAAAACAGTGATTCCTATGGGGGAATTTCGTGGACAATGTTTGGTTCTTGCTTCGTAAACCGATTTTTGCTAGACAACGATTTTGACAGCTCCCTCCGCGCTCGCAAAACAGGTGTTTTCGGGACCTAAGCTTCGCAAGACAGATTTAAACAGCTGATCAGCGGTTCGCAAAGCGGCTTTCCTATGATCGATTTTCGCTAGACAAATACGATTCTTCCCCATTGGAACGCATTAAACAGGTTTCAATGCATTCCAGTGGGGAAATGCTTTTCGCTAGACAATGATTTCGCTAAACAGCGATTTCAGTGGAACGGATTATCATTGTCTAGCGAGGCACCACTGTAATACATATTCAAAGGCAATTTTGGTTCTAAATGCCAATGTCAGCCTCCAACATTTCTGTACTACCAGTGCACCATCCACAATAGCATATGTATACTTTTAGTCTTTAATGGGCAGCTGGACTTTGATGGCATCATTTTCACTATGAATGACACTCATTAATTACACCTAGAAGATTGTTATATCCTCCATGCTACAAAATGCTGATGTTGATGATTCTTCTGTCAGCACGGTAGTATCCGCTGATTTGCTTATCCACTGCCTAAAATGCTAAATAAAAAACCCAGATTATGTATTTACTGTATTTTTCCATGTATAAGATGCCCCTATGTATAAGACGCCTCAACTTTTCCAAACCAAAATTAAGAATTCTAAGTGGGGCTTAGCAAGTGTAGGGGGAAGAGGATCACTGCCCTGCAGTATCACTTTGATCCCTGCTTTCCCCTCCATTTGTTTTTGTTCTCTCCTCAGCTTACTTCCGTGTATAAGACGACCCTCAATTTTTAGTGTAAAGATTTTAGACAAAAGTAAAGTATAATCTTATACAGTACATGGAAAAATATTCCTTGTATTTCCAGGGCGGGTTTCCTAAAACTGGCCAAAAGAGGGAGCCGGAGACCATTCAATATATAGCATTTGATACTTCCACATTTTTCAGCATGGGGGGGTTCAGGGGGGTTGTAACCGATCCCCCACAGATACCAGGGTCCCACTGTAACTTCTTCCATTTTTTGGCATTTTGCTGCCCGAGACAAAAGCTGTGTCAATAGGCTGACCAAGCTGGCAGCTGGATCGGTTTGGACACTAGCCTAACTTAGGGGTGGGTGAATTGAGGGCCTCAGTCCTTTTCTGCACCACCTGAACACCATTCCCCACGCTATCCCCGGCATTGAGCCTTGCAGCAGAGCCTGACTTAAATAACTCTCTGAGCATCTGTATCTTTTTATTGAAATACACAAATCCAGCAAATCAACATGGATGCATGCCTGTATTTACATTAGAGGAGGGCACAATTGTGCTGTTAAATCCACACCATTCTTTCAAAACAAACACACACACACACAGAGAGAGAGAGAGTTTTGTGCAGTTCCCATCACCTCAACTTCAAGCTTTCTTCCTCTGAGTTAGTAAATCAAGGAACTGGCCTGGATCCTTCTGAGGCGTCATTACCTATTTCCTCTCAGAGAAACCAGCTACGTGGGAAATCAATACTTAATCTCCTGCCCCATCCATCCCAATAAGGAGGCAGTTTGGGAGAGATTAAATTATGGACCTACAAAGCAGAGTTCTCTCTCTCTCCCTCCCTCTCTCTTTCCTTCATAAACCTTGGCTTCGTCAGCACAGGCCAATGGAAGCATTGCTTCGCATGGGATATGTAAGATTGCATAAGCGAGAAGAGAAAAGCATTTTGTGGGCTTAGAAACCTTTCACATTCGGTAGAAGTGTTACAACACAACGATCCAGAAGCGACCGTCGGCGATCTCAGTGAAATCATGCCACTTTCATTATGCTTAGGAGAGCTTGTTACGGCTGCTTTAATGGACTACAACTCCCAAAATCCACCAGTCATGCTGACTGAGGGACTCTGGAGACAGTGGGGCCCCACCAAGAAATTTTTTCCAACTGCTGATTTTTGGGCATGGCATCCCAGGATGGAAGACCTAGGGAAGTTAGTAGGAAAAAAAACATTAACAGTTTATTTATGTATTATTTATTTAAAAAGAATTCAGCCGCCAGAATTCTGTTACTTATATGCCTAGTTAAGAAGTGGATGGCTGCATTCTTCATTGTGGACCAAGTCACACAGCTGGTATGTGAAGAAGAAGACAAGCTTGACTTCTTAATGACAAGCAATTCATCACTGCAATTTAAGCCGTTTGATTCATGAGACCTCCTTAATTTTCTGATGGGGAAAATAATTCACATAACCCTATATATCTGGGAAAGGCTGACACTTTGCGTTGGTTCTCTCATCTGGGCTGCAGCTTCATTTGCTGTTACTTCCAGTCAAGGAAAAGGGTGTGGAGACTATTTAGAGCCCAAAAACCGAGCTACAGGGAAATGACCCCTGGTTTTACACACCAGGACTCTGTGGTTGGCAGCTGGGTTCTGGTCTGCAACCCAGGAAACGGTTGTAGTAGAGCATACTTCCGAGTAGGCCTGGATAGATTTGAGCTGTGCTTTGAAAGATTTCTGAGAAAATGTCTGAAGTGGTGTAAGAATGACACTGGGCCACACCCACTTTGCTTTGGCCCCGCCCACTTCTGGGATTCAGCCCCAGAGACCCTTCCCCAGTTGGATTTGGCCCGCAGAGACAAGATTTGGTATCTCTGCTCCATAATGAATCTTACATTTTGCATGCAGCAGAGGATCTGTGTGCATCACGTAACAATGATCACCAGCATGATATTAGCAGCTCTGTAACTTTACATGATGCAGGTATGGAGCAGAGTTGTCTCATCCCTGTGTTGTAATAATCCCTTCCTCCCTGCTTGAGAAACTTAAAACTGTTGGAAACGGAACACCAACACATGTAGAAAGAGATATGAATGAGCAGGGAGAGCAATAGGGTGGTAGAGAATCCACATGTTTCCCTAGTTGTGTTCGCTAGATTCCTACTCCTAGGCTCCCTTCTTTCCCGCTTCTCCTCCTGATATCACATTTCTGTACTAGGAGAAGGAAGGAGTGATTCTTCTTTAATGATTGCCAAACTGACACACATGGAAGCCAGCTCCAAGGGTCTCTTCTCAATTAGCTTAAGGATTTGTTTCCTCCTGTCCCATCCATAAAATATGGATTCCTGAGTCAATAAACAGCAACTGCTTTAATACCTGCCTTCAGCGTGTTTGTTCCTATTCAATGGTCATAAGCTCAGTATATCAAGGCTGCTGCGTTCTACTTGTATAAAGACCAATCAGTCTCTTTAAACTGAAGATTCTCCACCCAGAAAGTGAAAGCTTAAAAGAAGAAGCTTCACTCAAAACAGATGGCAGGCTTTTTAATAATAATAATAATAATAATAATAATAATAATAATAATAATAATAATAATAATAATAATAATAATAATAATAATAATAATAATAATAATAATAGAGTATCCATCACAGCCTTGGCTGTGTTCCCTTCCTCTCTGTCTACTTACAAGCGATGCGTTTGTCCCTTTGCATTCAAAATCAGTCTCAAGATCCCGCTTTCCCTCTCCCGTTCCCCCTTTGATGCAAGCCAAGAACCGGGAAGAGGCTGACGACTCAACTCTTCTACGGAGTTCTTTTCTGGTGGATGCCACCGTGAATGCCTCTGTGTCGAGTGGCACTTCATGCAGACAACAGCGGCCTTTAGTTCCAGCAGCTAATTAAGCGGCAGCTCTCCCGAGTGGGCAAAAATGCCATTTAGGCCAAATGAGGAAAGGCTGCTTAAAAGGGAAGGAGGCATTAGCATGCATGGGGGGTAGGGAGGAAGATAATCCATTTCCTTTAACCCCCCCCCCCAGGATTCTCCTACATTAGAGACCGCTCCATCTTAGGAAAAGCAAACTTAGTCCCCCTGCCTCTTCCACTCTGCACTGCTCACAGAATCACCAGAGGAAAGGAAGAATGCAATTAAAATGGGTATGAAAAGGAGGGTTTTCCCTGGCTCACCTGTTTTCTGTACATATCCGTGATCACAGAAGATATTCAAAGCCTAAGAAATTGCTACGTCAAACTGAGCTCTGAGTTGTATAGAACTGAGCTTTGTTCTGTTTTGTCATGAATTCTAAGTGGCAATGGAAGTGCCTTTCTTGGCCTCTCCTCTATTTTGATTTTTTTATTTTTCTTTAAAATATTTGCAACGTGCAATAACAGAACTGGCCACTAAAGGGAGCCAGAGAGTGCATCCCGGTGATTTTCTGGCCTGTCGGTGAAGCCAACGCAACATGTCGCTAATGTGCAATACCACGACCTGTGTGTTGTGACTGGGGCAAGGATAACCATCAGAGTAAGCCTGTTTCCCAGAGGTAACGAGGAACAAGTTCCTTTCATGTTCTAGGGTCTGGGTAGAACTGCAGCAAGAAATTCAAACATGCAAGGTGGCCACAAGCCCCCTCTCCCCTGGAAGTAAGGACGCATAAGGCTCCATGCCAGATTTGGACCAATCACAAATTCCAGTGTGAATTGGCGTGGTTCAGACTGATTTACATGAATTTGTCTCATATTTCACAGGCTTACTCCCTTCTTTAGCCCCTATCCTGTCTTCAGATTTTGTGTACCAAAAAAAAAAAAGTTAGAGCTGTTTTAGTTTTCCAGAGCAATGACTTAACAAATATATAGATAATTTCAGATCTGGAGTCTAAATGAAACTGGACGGAGTGCAAATTTTTCTGAACTGATCTGGGGCATATTTGGAAGCCCTAAATTAGCCTACATACCAAATCAGGGAATCTCCACAGAGCACACTACCTGATGAAATCCTTGCTCAATGGATGGCAATGAAGGCATAACATTGGCAGTTCAGTTTCACAAGTTATACTATATACAAGAATGGTGTTACTGTTTCTGGTATATAACTACTGTTTCCTAGATAATTCTCAATTTTGCTCAAAAGACATTTTAGAATGATTTCTTTATAATCAGGATAAATGTACCTTTGTTCGGATTTATAATTCATTACCTTTGGCTTTAAGTATTTGACATTCTTTTAGGATGCAATGAGCAGTCTTACCTGAAGAGTGGCTTTGGTCACCAATGTGGATCAGGAAGGAGTAAGAAGTAGAGATGGAGGTATTCATATCCATATACGAATATGAGTATCTCCACACAGGTGGAAATAACGAGGGTCTGGCCCCATGGGGCCGGACGGTCCACTCAGGATTTCACCACTGCCACCGGCTCTGCAGAGGCTTCCTATTGCGTCGTTGTCCACAATCGACTACCCAGTCCTGGCAGGAGGCGGGATGACAAGTTTCTCTGCTACGTTGGAGAGTCGGCTAATCCATTGCAGAGAACAGCACGATAGGAAACCTCCGCAGAGCTGGCGCCAGCAGTGAAATCGTGAGTGGACAGTCGGTTTGTGGCCCCCATGGGACTGGACCCTTGTTATTTCCATCGGTGCGGAGATATTCATATTCGTATACGAATATTTGCCCATGGGACTGGACCCTTGTTATTTCCATAAGCGGAGATATTCGTATTTGTATACGAATATTTACATTTGTATACGAATACCCCCCTCTCTAGTAAGAAGCATGAATCCTGTATGGCCATAGGCCTATATATTGTCCAAAATAATATTACTACATTTTCCCTTTGAACGGAGATTAATGTAAATCGTTCCTGCCCTAAGAACTTCTGCATTCCTCTTCTGGCCCAAGGGAGATGCCAACCAGTTGTGGTTTGCGTAACGTGGCAATATAAATTAGCAGGAAGTATGAGGTCCACCTCATCAGCAATATATCTGAAGCCACTCTGACTGCAAAACAGCCAATGTAATGAAATTCCCAGTGACATTTCCCATCAGCAATATATCTGAAGCCACTCTGACCGGAAAATAGTCAATGTAATGAAATTCGCAGTGACAATTCCTGAAAAGTAATTTTATATATACATTTTTAAAATTAAAAATAAATAAATAAATTAAAATTCAGTGCGAGTTTAGGTGTTCCTCTTCAAGCCAACAACCGTGCATTGGAGAGTTGGCTGAGATTTGAGGGAACCTGGCTCTTGACTGCGTTCACGAAATTCCTTGGTCCCATCCAAGCATCCACCACCGAGGCTGCCTGAGCAGGATGAAGGCATACTTACAGGTACGTCTGCTTGAACAAAGGGTTGGAGGGCTTTTCATTGACATGGTAGAGAGGGAAAGGATCAAATCCACCAATGAAATCAACTGAAAGAAAAAAAAATCCAAAACTCAAGCAATAACAATGGAGTAATTAAAAGGAAAGGAAAACATGGTGCAGATGGGCAAAGAAATGAATCAAACCATAAGACAATGCAAAGGGAACCGAAAGGAACTTGTAAAAAAATATTCTAAAAGCACTCACCAGGTTTTGGCCAAATCTAGACACTTTTATGTCCCGCAGATTTCAGTGGGAAACATAAGCATGTGCTCAATTTTCCCCTCAGTTAAATAAATTGGATATCTAACTGTGTTTTCAACAAGTTAAAGGTAAAGGTAAAGGTTCCCCTTGACAATTTTTGTCCAGTCGTGTTCGACTCTAGGGGGCGGTGCTCATCCCCGTTTCCAAGCCATAGAGCCAGCGTTTTTGTCCGAAGACAATCTTTCGTGGTCACATGGCCAGTGCGACTTACACACGGAACGCTGTTACCTTCCCACCAAGGTGGTCCCTATTTATCTACTTGCATTTGCATGCTTTCAAACCGCTAGGTTGGCGGGAGCTGGGACAAGCGACGGGAGATCACTCTGTTTCGTGGATTCGATCTTACAACTGCTGGTCTTCTGACCCTGCAGCACAGGCTTCTGCGGTTTAGCCCACAGCGCCACCACGTCCCTTTCAATGTTTTACATAGTTTTAATCGTTCAACATATTTTAATTGGCTTTCTTGTTTGTTGAGAGAGAGAGAGAGAGAGAGATGAACTATTGTGTTTTTAATTCTACTCTTTTTAATACTGTCAGCTGCCTTGAGTCTCCTTGTCAAGGGAAAGGTGCCCTATAAATAAGACAAGTAAATGAATTAAATATATTAAAATCCAGCCCTTTTCCTCCTGAGTGATTTGCAAATGCTCAGAAATTGCTAGCGTAACGTGCAGCTCTGGTGACATGGATTTCTGGGATGAAAGAGTCAAGGGGAACAATCTACAGAGGACTTCTCTTGAGGTGACATCACTGAAGCAAATGAGATCGACACGGTCCCTGGTACCAATTTATCTGGGATTTCAAACCAGCTACAGATCCTTCGTTTGTGATGCCTTGTAAATAAGATTACCAAATGTAACAGGGCCTTCCGAGGAATGGCACCCCAACTGTGGACTCCCTTCAATTAAAGATCTTGTTGTGCCCCATACCCATACCTTTAATGCACCGCTTAAATAATACCTATATGATCCAGCTTTGGAACAGGGGGGATGATGAGGTGTTTGCATTGTATTGTATTGTATTGTATTGTATTGGCTGCTGTACATAGAATCATAGAATTCTAGAGTATGGGGTTGGAAGGGGCCTAAACAAGGCCACTGACTCCAACCCCTTACGCAATGCAGCAGCCCAAATTATATTTGACAAATGGCTGTCTAACTTTCTCTTGAAGGCCTCCAGTGTTGGAGCGCTCACCACTTCTTGAGATAATGGGTTCCATTTTTGTACTGCTCTAACAGTTAGGAAGTTTGTTTTCCTGATACTCAGCTGAAATCTGGCTTCCTGTAATTTGAGTCCATTGTTACAGATCCTGCACTTGGGGGATGATCAAGAACCGATCCTGCCCCTCCTCTGTCTGACAGCCTTTCAGTTATTTGAAGAGTGCAGTCCTATCTCCCCTCAGTCTTCTTCTCTCAAGGCTAAACATGCCCATTTTTTGTTTTTTCTCTTTGATTTGCTATCCAAGTACAGACGTAAGAAAATATAAACACACTCTATGTGTTTTCAAGACAAACTTAAAGTTTAAAAATAAGAAAATACAAGAGAAATACAGGAAAATATTCCTGCCATTTAGAATATTGTCATTTTGAAAAAAGTCACTTTTGAAACACCGTCTGGTGGAGATTCGAGAAAGGGTCTTCTGGAGGCATTCAAGAGAAAATTGGACAACCCTCTGTCAGATCTGCTTTGACTTGGATTCCAGTCTTGAGCAGGGGGTTGGACTAGATGGCCTTATAGGACCTCTCCCAACTCCATGATTCTATAATTTTATACTCAAGCTATGGAACTCCTTGTCAAGAAAGGCTAAGTCTCTTTCCATTGGGAGACACAAAATCTTTTTTTAAATAGTTAAACTGGCCTTCACAATGAAGGGACTCCAGTTAAAGGATCTTAGCTGATGTGTTGAGTACCACAATTAAAAGGTTTAATTTTAACTGTGTTTTAATTATATAATTAATCTAAATTCTATTTTTATGTTTGTGATTTCATTGTATTTTAAACTTCTGATGTTTAAACTGCTGTGTAAGCTGCCTTAGGTCCCAGTTCTGGAAGAAAAGCAGTATATAAATAAAAAAAAGTTTTAAAAATCAATAAAAAATAAACACAGCCACTAGAAAAGTTGGCTCATTATGGCTGTGAAGTAACTTCATTTCTACTCATCCCTTTTGAGATGTTACTTTTTACCATTCTAATTAACAAGGAAAGCATCTCTGAAATGTAATGTTCTTAGTAATTTTCTCCTAAACTCTTACAGCAAGAGGAAGTATCAGCATACTTAGGGGGGAATGGAACTTGGAAAAGTTACTTTTTTTTTGCATTGAGGCTCGGTGAGAATTTCTGTTGTGGCCCCCAAAAAGTAACACTTCTAAGCCCTGAGCTGCTGGATAGCTCAGTGGTTTAGGCATCTTTCTACGGAGTCAAAGGCTGGGAGTTCGATTCCCCCACTGTGTCTCCCTAACAAGGACAGTACTCGATATTCCGCAGGGCCCCTCCCAGCTCTGCAGTTCTAACATGATGATGAAGATGATGCTGAAACTTCCAGTTTTTTTTTTTTTTAAATCTTTAGGAGAAAAGAAAAGCCCAAGAGGGCAGGTCTCTTGAGAACAGCCTAATAAGATGTGAGCAATCTTAGGGAGCATCCAGTATTGATTGATATTTGGGAGTGTATTGAACCTGGTGAAAGACAGGGGTCCTTGAAAAAAGGCTGGGAATCCTCACCACTACACTCTGCTGTTGTTGTGCTAGTTGTAGTACTGTCTCCTCTCCAAATCCCACCTCCATGCAGCTCTGTGACCTCCTGTTTCATATCAAAGGAACCATTTCAAAGAAACCCACAAGCGGCAGCGAAAATTAGAAATAAGCTCAAATTGGTTCAGGTCAATGGAAGGCTCTGCTGGTGATTTAGTGAAATATTGATGCTTTGTCAGTGTTAATTATTGAGGCTGGCATTTCAGGCATGACCATCCAGGAAGAGGAGGGGGGGCTGGAGAGAGAGGAAGGTTTGCTGAGAGTATGGGTGTGAAAGAGGTTTCTAGATACAGTAAATCAGACTCACACCAGCAGCAATATTTTTAAAAAATCTACTGAGCTTTCTCTTGGATGCACAAAGCTTTATCCACTCACCTACCACCACCAATTCCCGTATCTCTTTCCTTCCTCTACTTGAATCTCCCTGTTCTAAGCTCTCACCTTGATTGCAAAGATATTGCTAACCAACAAGAGTCCAAAAGGAAAAAGCAGCTAGATAGCTCAGTGGTTTGGCTATCCGGCTACAGAGCCAGAAGGTGGGGAGAACCAACAAGAGTCCAAAAGGAAAAAGCAGCTAGATAGCTCAGTGGTTTAGCTATCTGGCTACAGAGCCAGAAGGTGGGGATTTCCATTCTTGACTGGGAGAAGAGCCAGCCTGTGTAGCCTTGAGCAAGTTGTATAGACCCAAAGCACCTCCCAAAAGAACGGAATGGTGGACAACCTCTGTGTATTTTCAACCCGAAGAACCCTGAAACGGATCAGAATTGACTTTACAGCACATGATTACGATTATTATGGAAATTAGGATGGGGTTAGGGAGAAGGAAGCACCCATTGAATTAATCTCACACTCCTAGTTTTTTCATTGCTTACTCCAGATTAGGCCAATTTCAGGGTCCTCCCAGAGAGAGCAGAAGTTCTACCCCCTCCTTGTTTCTTTCATTTAAGAGCGATGGGGCATCCAAACTTTCCTTTAAAAAGCAACCTCGTTTCTCTTGAAGGAATCCATATCTCTTTAGGAAATATTTAAGACATCTTTTTAAAATATTCCAAACTTTCCTTTAAAAAGCAACCTCGTGTCTCTTGAAGAAATCCATATCTCTTTAAGAAATATTTAAGACATCTTTTAAAAATATAGCAGGACCCTCTTATCTGCAGGATCAGTTTTTCCTGATTCACTTATCCATGGTCTGAAAATACTAAAAGAAAAGTGTGCGCACACATGTGCACACACACATGCATGCACACACATGCATGCACACACACACTCAGATAGAGAGAGAGAGAGATACAGGGGATACAAGGGTCCTACTGCATTTATGAAGTTCACTTCTCTGCTAGAACTTTTTGTAAAAAGTTATCTGAGTGCTATTCAAATGTTTCTGACCAGGAGACATAAAGTTCAAATGGAAAGTGCCATAGCGCTAAATGTTTCCTCTCTCCCTGCGCCAGAACAAAGTGATACCTAGAACCAAACCATGCTTTCAGAAAGGACGGCAGTTCGTCGAGGAAGAAATCACTGGACAACCTGAGACACAAGTTTAATTTTTCTGTGTGAGCTTTCTTTTTTGAGCCAGCTCTGGCAACAGCAGCCTAGAGGAAGGAACACTTCTCAGGCGGCTGGTAGAGAGTGTCCCATAAGAGATGGCTAGGTGCTGACTGGTACTGTAGGCAAGAGTCTCAGTACAAATATTGGCAAGCATTACAGGTGCTGGACATATTGCTGCCTGGCTGGCCATCAAACCAAAAAGTTCCGTCCACATTACCTGATAAGCTGAGCTTTACCCAGATTTATGGGCTCACTTACTTAAATCTATTTCTCTTCCCCTGTCTTTCACAACCAGCTGGCCCACAAGCATTTCTTGCACTCCTCAAACACTTGCCAGGCCTGCTTTCTGTGGTAACACAAGGACTTGATCCTTGTGGTGTCACAAGCGGCCCCACCCCTGACATCTCAGAGGTTGGCCCTGAAACTTCAGGGCATGGAAGGCTCCTCTCTGAAGACTTGGCCACGTTTAATACTTCCTATCTGCCTCTGTCTC